CTTGTTTATGTACAACTATCGATCGTATGATCGTATGCAGCTGTATAAGGAATGAGTAGTGCCCTAGAGGTTCTTTTAATTTGATTCGTGTTTCTCAAGCAGGAACGACTCACTTTTGCATTTTGCAATCACGATCAGCATCTCAATCGAAATTACATCGTCTAACACTTGCATGGCTTAACTGAAACAGAAAAGCGGCCTCGTTGACCAATAAAATGGCTGCAATGCCACTCATTGATTAATTGATACATTCGATGAGCACGCGGCAAAACAGTCAAAAGCGAGTTGCCGAAGCATACGATCACAAGCACAGTGAAAAACATACTTTCATGCTCAGTAAAATTTGTACAGTCAACACTGCCACCTCACACACACACAAAAAAAAAATCAAATATTAGCAATCACAAAAATAACGCTGAAGCACGTAGTGACATATTGTGAGAAGAGAAGAGCCTGCACCACTACTGTATCGCAGGTAAAAGTGCAAATATGGTCTCTAGTACAAGAGAAAGCTCAATCACAGTGCCCACGCCCACTACAAGGACGCCGAAATCAGTGCATGTCCAGCACAACACAAATGTGTACAGCTCGCGATCGCATTAGGGTGGCTAATCGCGTACAGCTCATCCCACACACGAACGCATGCACACACGCCACACGCCGAGAGAACTTGTAGTTGCCAGACCCACTGTTAACCAAAAGCCACAGCACGCCACTCGCAAAAAAAAATATGCCCAGAGAACCACATATAACTCTACAGAGAAGCTCAGTTTGCCTGACCCACCATTCTCCGAAAGCCATAGCTTTGTACAGATACAAGCCAAATTGGGTGAAAATAGTGTTTGCGCTATTTTCACCGGATCGTAGCAGTCACTGCCTGTGCGTTGCGGCGTGTTTTATACGTTGTGTCGGTAATCTTGTCATGTTATGAAGTGATAGTGAAGCTGCACGGCTGCTTTTAAGGGGAGATGCTACTGGGAAAACGATTTTCTTTAATAAGAGTCTGAATTTAACACAAATTGGCATGCTAATAGAATTTTTTCTCCTCTTTTCAAATATGTCATTTATTTTCATGTAGATTGCTTTGTTTTCTCTCTGCAGGTCAGATACTGCAAAATTATGGCCATTGTTATGCAACAATTCTGACCTATAAAAATTTGAGATAAAGCATGCAGATATAGCTGACTATGATCCTTTGGAACTGTAGAGTGCAAAAAACTATATAAATTTTGTGTGTAAAAAGGTGAAATACAATAATAAAATAGAAAAATTTACTATGGCTCTAGTTGCCAAGGGCTTTCAATGTTATGTAATTTTTGAAAAACATAATCAAGCAGCACTGACAATCTGAATAGATACTTGCACTCTATGGGCCTTCATCATGCTATGTGCAAAATTTCATAGAGGTATGACAATTCTAAGTATACGAACTAGCGTGTATAAGAAGCACAGATCACACAAAACTGCAAAAAGGAGAAAAACGCATTTGAAAGTTTGAAACCTTTTTTTTTATCACAGAGTTGTTAGAAATGCATAATCTTTGGCCATAATGTTCAACAGAACTTTGAAAAGCACTGCAAGTTACTAGAACTGTCCTGCAGCATAGGATGTGCCCTCACGGTCCTTGCGAGCACTCTCTTTTAGCCGTGCCCTTTTCACTCCACGACGACGGTGGGCCCTTGCTTCTGCTGTCAGATGCTCGGACATTCTCTTGATGCACATCGCATCGCGGGAATCACTGAAAGTAAATAGATCTATAGATGGCAGTATGTTGAGCTCTTCCAGGATGTGCTCAAAAGTAGCATGACCCTTGTTGAACCACAGGATTGCCATAGCTGCGGCAGTCTCGACAACCGTTCGGGAGACAAACTTAGTCTTGGGGCAAAGTAGCCAAATTTTGCTGTTCAGGGATTCCGATGCGTTCTGGGTTTTCCCTTTGATGCATCGAGCAAGGAGCTTCTCATCCGTTAGCCGCTTATGAATGGGCAAAACAGCCAATCCCTGTGCTTTTGTCAGGAGAGGTGTGTGGCGTGGTGCAGGTTCACCAAGTGCTTCAGCGCGTTGATGTTTGCACCACGACTCTGTTCCTGCAGGGCAAAACTTGTGGCTGCCAGCATTGTCAGTAGAGCATGAGTGGAAGTACGAAGCCCATACTGCAGTGTACATATCCCGTACACTCCCCCTGTTGCTTGTTATGACAATCTGATAGTATGTTTGGAGCTTCTGAATGGCTCGCTCTTTCATTTTCTGCCCTCGTGGTAATGGCACATGCAGCTTCCGTAGCGCGGTGCCAAGTCTCTTGGCCACATGATTAGTGCAGTCTTCTTTTTCTATATTGACAGCACCATAGACGTTTGACTCTGCAACTGCACTATATGCTTTGCTGTCACCGTCACTCAAGAATGTCATGAAATGCAGTGGGGTGTCATAAGTCAATGTTCTCTGCCAAATGCGCATTGCAGCCTCCGTTTCCATGGCATGGGAGGAACAGTCTGCATTTTTTTCACAGACTGGGCCATGGAATGCCTGCCACACTTCCTCGTCTGGGCCCATATCCTTGTGCCTACTGCATGTCAGGCAGTAATTTGATATGACCTCGAAGTCTAAGCAGAGGCCAGTATCTAAGGAGATAACTGTGCCAATCCTGTTGTGGCTTTTGTGGCCCCTCTTCTGCCAAGTGCCGTCGAACATAACTGCCACATCAGTTTCGCCTGCTACTTCTTTCGCCAACTCTTTGGATCGGCGCAAGTTTTCACTCACAGCTGCCATAGCAGCGGTGTGCACCTTCTTTGCTATCAAAAAAAATCCTCGGTGGTGCATTGGCTTTGAGAGTCCAATAATGGAGCAAAATCTCGACAATTGCTCATGCCCAATGCCAACAGCGCGTGCAGCCACCACCGCCTTCACATTTACAGCGAAACTATCTCAGGAGCTCCCAATGTCGTACCGTTGGCTCACTCGGCTGCTGCCATCCGCCGTAACACGCAGTGACGTATACGAGCACGAAAGAACAGTCGCTGAGCATTCGCTGTTTTCGCAATGAAGTTCGAGGAGCGACGAAAGTCCCTTGCGCTTTTCTGCCGGCTCCCGAACGGCAAGTTTTTGAATACCGCAAGCAGGGCATGCCGCACCTGCCACAAGTGCCGTCAGCAAGAGGGTGTCGCACAAAACTGTTGTTGCACAAACCTCATCGCGCTGTCTTTCGTCTTTTTCGAAGAAGCCGAGCTTCATTTCCGAAGCACTGACGAAAGAAAGCGCAGCGTCAATCCCTTCATCGCAGCCACTGTCGCTCGCGCACTCGTCGATGCCGCCGTCAGGCCTAGCACACGTAGGCGCGTTCTCGTTCGTCGCCGTCATTCGGGGGCGCTTTACGCCGCCTTCCCTTGAACTTGTGCTTCGTTCGAAACTTCTGCGGTCTCACGTTGCACTTTTTCGGGCTTGTCATCGTGGATCGTGGAAATATGCGTAGACGCGCAGAAAAGCAGACGGACCAAATGCCGATGGCCGCCACCAACACAGCTGACAATGACTCGGTAGCCAATGGCGATGCGGCTTAGGGTGCCGCGCGTTTCAAACCGCTCAAACCACGTGATAAAAAGGCCTCCTTTTTTTTTTTTTTTTTTTTTTGCCCACGTACGAAACTGGCGGTCGTCGGAGCTGTAAGAAGAAGGCCGGACGCAACTTTCCCAACCGATCGCGATGGCGGGCGGCACTGCGACGGGGAGCAGCGCGCAGTCAAAGATGGCCAATATCGGCGCAAATTCACAAAATTTTGAGCCACCGCGATGCCTTCATACATATTTTTTTGCATTTTGCGGTTCGAATTTAGTTTTGAAATTTTCACAGATGAAAGAAGAAGGTTTGAAGATTACAATGCAATAAAAATTAGAAATACGAGAAATTGCGCTAAAAACGCGATTTTTCGACTCGCATCTCTCCTTAAGTTGAAAGTGATAGATCATGCACTAAACAACGGCAACAGGGCGGCTGGAAGGCCCTTTGGAGTCTACGAGTTTTGTGTTCGCTAATGGTGACAACAGCTGAAAGTCACCAAGACGTGTTGGGCCTGCCGTGTGCCTAATACTGGGATTGATGGTAAACTTTATTTTTTCAGAAGGAAACTGCGGACGATTCTGTTAAATAGCCATCAGTCTTATACTGACCTCCTACACTTACATTTCGAGGGCGTCTGTTGAACGACCAACGCTACCGCTACGCCCGCAACGCCCAGAAGCTTTGCGTATGGTATTCTAATTCTCGACTATTTGCTCGCACTTTTTCTTGTCTCAAATAAATCTTGTCTTGTGTTGAACCTGTGCTTTTATTGTTGAGGTAGGTTTTAATTAGTACTTCTCAAAGCTTGGTGTTAGTTGCTGGCGTGAGAATCCCGATTTGCGGCCACTTCGTTTTCTTTTTCGCTCTGTACGTTTTCGTAGGAAGATTTCTCCGCGTAATTCTCACACCCCCCAACTTTGCATTGATTTTCCGCCAAAAAAAAGTGCGAGGATCATGCGAGTAAATAGGGTAGCATGAGATCATTACATCATGCGAAGGCAGCGCCCCTTTAATGCATACTACTAACATAGGCCCATATGTACATTTTATCTTTTAGTATAAAGAAATGAACAATTTTTCAATACTACCAGAAAAATCGTCAACCGCATAGAGCAATCAATGGTCACATGGCCAGGTACATTGGATTGTTCATGCTTTTGCACCTAGAGGCACCACAGGTCATTTTTATGCGACTTTCAATGAAGAAATAAAAATATAAAACCAGTTCTTCTGCAGAAGAGAGATAAAAAGGGGGGGGGGGGGTTGGGTTGAATCCATGTAATAGACAATCTTTTCATCAGTGGAGTCATCTCATTTCATATTCAAGGCAGTTGTCGGTCCCTTTAAATAGTTATGCTCAACTGATGCTGGCTGCATAATTGCATTGTTTGAAATACCAGTTTAGAATTAAGTTAGTAGAATTCGAAAGAAGCATCGCAACTTACCAGGAGAAAGGCGTGCTTGATCAGATGTCTCTGTCACCTTGCCCACTGAGGCGGCTGCTGCCCTTTGGCTCCGTGTTACCAAAGGGCTTGACTGAGAACTGGCATTTGGCACAGTCTTGCGAGGTGTGTTGCGGGTAGTCATTCGAGTCACTGGTGCCTCCAAAATGAATTCCTTTGCTTTCTTGGCTGCACCCTGCAGAAGCAAAGCAAGAAATGTTCAGTAAGGCAAGACAGCAGCATTCTTCACTATTCGCAACTTTCAGCTACGGTGGCGCCGCCACACATCAAGTGGCGGAAGCTGTGATGCGTTAATAGAAGGAAAACTTGCTTGGCAACAACGTTCCAGCCGTGCCTCGCCGTCGTTGGGTCCCCCACCTTCTTGCGCGTGCGGGAACTGAAGTGCGATAAATTTTGTTGGTGCAAGGTTGCAGAACCTTTCAGCTTCAATATTGGGTGAATAATACAAGATAAATCGCTTGTGGAGTGGGCTGCAAGGCTCAAACTGCACCGTGAAAGGCATCATTAGCATGCTTAATTTTCTTTTCAGCTGACAATGGAAAAAAAACTATGAGTTATCAAGCTATACACCGTGAAACTTGTCAACATATTGTGGTTACCAGCGAGCACTTGAAATCGGATGACTTCTGGGACGGAACAGAATTTTATTCACTAAAACCACAACATGATGAGACACGCTGTAGCGGGAACCTCGGGATTAATTTTCACCACTTGGGGTTCCTTAAGGTGCTCTTAAATCTAAGCCCACGGTTGTTCTTTTTCATTTAGCCCTATCGAAATACTGCTTGATTACCGCTGAGATTACCCGTGGGCTTGATTGCTGCCAGGGCCAGCAATCAAGCCCACCGAATTCAGCAGCACGACACTTCACAGTGTCAAATCCACAGTACTCTAAAGCACTTAGACCCGCAAGTGGCCGGATCGAATCCCGGCCGCGGCGGCCGCATTTTCGATGGAGGCGAAAATGCTTGAGGCCTGCCCGTGTTATGTGCTTAGATTTTGGTAAATGTTAAAGAATCGCAGGTGGTCGAAATTTCCGGATCCCTCCACTACGGCGTCTCTTATAATCATATGTTGGTTCTAGGACGTTCAGCCACAACTATTATTATCATCAATCCTGAGACTAACAGGTGAGTCGTCGTGCTTTTTTAGGCGGAGGGTATACAATAACACGGTTAATACAACTATGCTTTCGCGAGCGAAAAACACTCCAGCACAGCTCGCCGCAACTGACACATGCAAGCGGCAGCTGGGCAGACACCGCTGCCGTCTACGATTGACCACAAGCCTGAATAGGGCACTTAAATTTCAGCAACTTGATATATATTTCTAGTCTTATGCCTGCGTCGAGATATGAAGCAGTTTTCTCCACAACTTTGATATGAAGATCGAAGCAAAGTAAGCCAGTTGGGCGAGATGGCCTGCAATGTCGCATGTTTACCTGCGAAATGCCCAAGCATCGTGGTTCCCGATCTCGCTCGTAGCTTGTAAGCTGGTGCTGCTTTGAATAAGTGACGTACTGGAGCACAAGTTTATTGGGTTAAGTATCAGTTTGTGTAATGAAACAATTGCAACTCATCTTCGCTGGCAAGAAACCGGCACCCTCGGTCAAAATGATTGGAGTGGTAAAGAAACGACCGGTAGCACAAACGGCCTTACGTCACCTGTCTCCCGTGTTAATTACCGTTGTCGATACTAAGCCAGGTGATCGCCGGACCGAGTGGATGACAAAAAACTGCCGAGTTTGACGCACGCTGGATTCCCGATCCGGCAATGCATTGTGACGGAACGTCACCGATTCTGCTGCTATAGTATACGCACGAGCGCGTCAGACGTCAAATCTGGTGAAAGATCATACCGCGTGTCCCACACTTTATGCGCTCTAGCATGAGCTGCTTCCTTCATTGGAATTTAAATGCCATGGAAAATTATCCTAGCCGAAAGCGGTGGCAACCACGCAGTGAGAACACCTGTGACGAAGGCTCCGCGCAGGTAGGGGATCAACCCATCGACAGCCATTTTGGTTTTCTTGTGGGGGCCCCCTATAGTCACTGAAAGTTAGGAATCAACATACAGTCATAAAAAAAAGAATGAACAAACAAAGAAGGCCACATTCCTAAATACTACAAAACAGGGGTGCTACAGCCAAAATGGAATTCGGATCAGGTTACAGAGGAAAAAAACATCCATTTTTTATCATGACAGACTAAATTTGGAGCAGTACAAAAAGAGAGGGCTTTCATTTAAAAAAAAAAGATATGTACAAACCATTCAACCTCACCTAAATTGTGCATAGTGAACATGAGCACTGCTATTATAATTAAAGTAGTAACCACAACATTGAACAACTACATTTGCCCCGCCTGTCAAACCTCTTGACAGACTCTGCGAATTCAAATGTGGTTCTGCCAAGCTAGTGACCTTGAAATTCGGGAGATTCTTAAAAAGCAGAGGTCATGAAAAAAAAAGTAAAAATAGTGGTGCACAATTTATTATTTTTAGGGCAGCAGAAATGTCATTCCCTGTACCAAATGATCGTCAGCAACTTCTTTTTAGACATCAGCAACCCCACCAACCCTCATAACTACGCGGCACATAGAAAATGTGCCTTGTCCCGTGACTAGAGCTCTTAGCCCCTTCTATCATAATGAACAAAAAATTTTCTAACCTCTACCCCCTCTCCCCTACCTTTTTTTCTTTTTTTCATGGTGGGCTACGTTTAGGGCACAACTTCTTCGCTTGCTTGCAAGGCACGTTCAGATAAAGTAACACCAGCATGCACCCGTTGGCCCGGCAACAGCACTGGATATCTATCGCCGGAATGACGCAACTTCAAGACATTCATGAAAATGTTTTATGTGCCATTATTATGGCAATTAACTTGGTGGCTGGCAACACCAGCATTCGCAGCACGCAGAGTTTGTTTGCGTACGGAAAACGCAGCACATGCTTCCAGCTTCAGTTTCCAACATGCCACTGCTGCGTTTGCTGACTAGAAAATTCATATTTCCTACGAAGTGTTGGTGGCTACAGCAACAATTTTTGTTCAGAACTTGTGTCGTCTTGCCAATAGGTATCCGCTGCGGTCAGCAGATCGATGGGTTGCGGCGTTACCTTATATGGTCGATCATGTGACGGTCTTCACCTAATTAGTATATACCTTACATCGTAGTTTAAGGTTAGGGTCTGCACACCTGCATTGGAGTGATTAATAAAGCAAACTGCAGGTGGCCAATGTGGCCTCCATTTCTCATTGAAATTAGCGCACCTGAGAAAATTTTGAGGCCTGTCAGACATTTTGGCGCAGCATGGCACAATTTCAACAAATTTTGTGGTTTTGATGCAGCCCAGAGCAACTATGGGGAATTGCATCAAATTGGTGCGATTGGCACAGCTGTTGCACCTCTGAAAGTATCCTTACTTTAAATCGAACAACATAAAAATGAACAAGTTTACAAAATGAATTGAAAATGAAAAAAGAGAAAGAGCACCCATGGCATGCTTATACATTTAAATATATTTATCAATGGTGCATGATAATTATTATGATCAGTACAAGCAACAAGATCATCCTTCAACGAGGGTGAGATGTCTTCTATTACATCTTGCGTTTTCACTATTTAAGAGAGCCATAAAAACTTTGCCTTTCCCCAATAAAATTGATCTGAAGGTTTTCTATGCATTACAGTCAAATATGAAACAAAAACGACATTCAAGGAATTGATAACTGCCGTAGGGGTCAGATGTAGGGTCAGCGACATCATTAATGACTACGGGCCACACTTGGTTGCGGGTTCACAAAGGTTTATTTTAAAAATGGTTGACTGCAGCTAGTCACACCACTTTCATCATAAAACTTCACATCAAAGGAAAGTTATGTTGCACACTGAAATAAAGCTGCAGGATTCCACAGTTGCATCACATTTGTTTTTCTCCAAATTTTTTTTTATGTTCCCAAGAATTATGTTCATGAGTGGTGAACGCGAAGAGATCTTCACAGGCTCAAAACAAGAAACTATCCTGATCTTGGAGACAATCCTGCACATTTTCTTATGGCGTATTCCGTTGGGCATTTATGAGTACTCTGAGAAGTGAATGCGCGTTCGGTTTGTAGAATTTGAGTGCTTGGGCTACCTTTAATTGGTTCTTCTGAAGCGCCAGCCTCTAACGAGATTCGAAAGCAAAACAACTGCACGCAGCAGTGGGCAAAGGGGGAGAGGGAGCGAACCAAGGGGATGGTTTGGCATAACACAAAAACGGAAAAAATCAATTGCAAGGTTTGCAGGACTGTAGCAAATTAATTGGGGTGCATTATTTACATGGAAAAAATACAAACTTTGATGATTGGTGCGCTTATGTGAGTGGGTCCATTACACGAGTAAAAACGGTATAGGTCGAGCCCACATATAAGGGCTCCACTTAAAACGAACAATATCTATCTGACCGTGGAAATATACATTATTTCAGTAGCACATAATCACACTTACAATGAATGTTTCTGAGCGCCGCCCATCGATTACAGTGAACGGAGCCGGCGCTCCAGCGACTTCTCGGGACACCACTTAAGAGCACCAATAAGCCATCATCGGCAAGGTGCCCATTGATTCTTATTGTTAAACGCCGACCCTGCCTTCACAGTCCTCTAGTTGTCGCTCTCCCTGACTATTTTTTGCTACGCACTTAATCTGTCCTTTGTTTCCGCCGCTACGGGCCCGCATCGCCAGACGAGGCCAGTGTTTCCACACTGCCAACGATCCTTCAAAGACTCGTCAACCGACTAGTCCCCCTCAGTTTTTTATTGCTGGTCTTCTTACACTATAGTTGGCGTCGTTGGCTTGGACTAAGCAGATAACCTGCCAACATCATCGGATGCCGACCGTACTCAATCATTGGCGTCTTGTCTAGATAGGTGTCGTATTGTTCCAGTGAACGTGCTTGTGCTACCCTACCCAACATTTATATTTCGCGATTCGTTCCGTATTTAGGACCTGTTCTCGCTCATTTCGCATTCCGCTCAGCATGCCCTCCACACACGTGCGGATACGTAAAAACAGCAGTTACACAGAAAGAATCAGAACTAATGAAGTCGATGAGACTATGCAAGCCCACGGGCACCATAATGCAATTCTTCGACCTCTGAGCAGGCAGGCCACTCTCCCAAGTTTTCCTACGCATGAGTTGTGGGTTTCGTGGACCTTTGAAGCAAGCTACCTGACATGCCTTCTTAGGTTTTCAAAGCCGCCTTCCCGCCATATGCTCCCCTTTTTCAACTCTATGGCAACTCCTTTGCCCATCTCTCGCAAGTCTGCTGTCTTTTTATCCCAACTCCTTCGTCCTTCTCCACCGCTCCGCAACGCCAGCCATGCTAGCTCGAATTACTAATAAGTTTTTTCCCTGGCTAGCAACGGGCCCAGAGCAGTTCCACGCGTCCTGACTTCTACGTTGCGCGTGCGCGTATTGTTCCCGGTTGGTGTGCGTGTGTAATCACGATGGCGAAATGGTAGCCTTCTACGCCTTTTCCTGCTGCTCAATACAACGTCGAAAGTGCAACCTCTTGGCTTGGGTGTAACCGATGCATTTTAAGGCGCCGCGTTGGTTTAAGGTGCTACGTTGTGGAGAGCTTGTTTGCAGCAGTTGACCGCCAGGGAGCCAACTTGTCGCTTTGCGTGTTCCTGTATCTGTAGAAATGGTGAAGGATTCGTGGGTGGATGTGACTGCTACATGTGTGCGAAACTGTTTTTGCGAGGCTGGCTTTGTCGACATCAGACCCAATGCTGAGCCTGAAGCTTCCGAACAGGATCACTCTGGCGGAAATCTGTGGCAGCGCGTCAACTCCGACAACAAAGGGTGGGACATCCGTTCATAATTTCATTACGGCCGATGAGGATGCCGACACTGCGGAACCGTGCACGGATGAGGGCATTGTGAATGAAGTGCACGGCAAGAGCGATTTAGAGGAATCTGATGATTACCATAACCAAACTTTAGAGCCAATGCCCACAAACGTACCTGTAGCAATTGGCTACATTAAGAGCCTCAGACAGCTTGTATATGCTAAGGACCTCGGCAAAGAGCACACAGTCACTTTCATTAAACTCAAGACCACCCTAACCACTTTTGCTCTTCAAAACACGTGCATTATGAACTTTTTGGAAAAAAAAAACAAAATTGTAATTTTACTTGCAACTGCTTTAAAGCTGTGTTTCATTTACTATGAACTTCGGGATACAGCTAACGGATGCCACGTCACACTCAGGTTCGTCATAAGCGAGCCCAACTGTGTTACTGTGTGGTGTAAAAACGCTGTGACGGGAACTTCTGTCAGCATGACATTTCGGCATGGCTGTTGTCTCTGCTTAATACTGAAATTGTGAAATTAGTTTTTTTTTTTTTAGAATACTGTATTATTTGAACATACTTTTGAGGTCCAAAGAAAAAATAAAGGATGGGTTGACAACTTCATTTCACACATGGGTAAATAGAGAAAAAAACTAAGTGCCGATTTCACAGATTTTTAAATAAAAACTCAATGACAGTCAGGTTGTTCTCGCTCTTGCACCTGAACTATATGTCGAGGCAGAAATACTTTTCCACAGCTAAAATGGTGTTCACATGACTAATTAACAAACTTAATATTTAGCTTTTTAATTTGTCCCAAATGGCATTGTTTACACAGTCGAACCTCTTTATAAGAGACACTGATATGAGACAAGTATAAGAGATACCAGTGTGTCTACAGTAAAGAATGGGTTGACAAGAAAATGCCTACCAAGTACCTTGCTTATCAAAGACTTCTCATATAGGAGTCAAGAACTGCTGCCCAGAGCATGCCTCTTACAAATGGGTTTAACTGTATTAGAAAGTTTTAGTTCGTCATAATTTATGGCATATCCATTTTTTAGAAATCACAAAAGTTGCACATAGTACGAGAAGTTTATCACCGAATTTCAAAAACAAAACCAACACTGATAGCTGAAGGCTCGCATGAAGCACGACAATTGTACTACATCAGACTGGAACTACATATCCCATGGGAGAGACGAATTTAAATGACGATGCGCCGCGGCCCATATGTTTTTGTGAAAAGCTGCAAATCGTCTCGCATGTGCCCGCCTATTGCCTTACTTTTGCGCATTGTGTACGTTGCTCATCTCTTTCTTTCAAACAGTGCAAAAGAATCACGCAATATGAACGTTTACTGCAGCGCATTTCTTGCAGACAGACAAAAGTTTTTGCGCATCCCATCGAAAAGCACCACCCATTAACCTGTCTGCTTATCTATTTTTTTTAGAATTCCTGCCAATTTATTTGACCGAATTCTTCAGAGCGCCTTCATTCAGATTTCCTCCTTTCCTTCTCAGGGATCGTTCCAGTGTTCCAACGCATTTCGTGCATGCTTTGTGCAATCAGTTTCAGTTTTGCCCTTGAAATTTGGTGATGGATATTTCAAACTACCGGCAACTTTGGGATTTCTAAAAAATGCATATGCCATAAATATGACAGACTACAACTTTCTAATATTAATAGCACCTCTCAGGTGAATAACTAAAAAGATAATTAACAAGGTTTCATTAATTAGTTGCTTCATCATCGGTTTAGCAGTGGTAAAATATTGCTGTCTCAACATACAGTTCATGAATGAAAATGACAGGAGCCTGACTGTAATAAAATTATCATAAAAATCTGTTATTTAAAAAAAAACCGTATAGCAGTTAACCTGTTCTTCCCAGTTTCACATCATTTAGCAAACCTGGTACGATGCTTCAACCATGTAAAAAATTATGATTGATTTGATTGATTTGTGGGGTTTAACGTCCCATTACCACCATTTGATTATGAGAGACGCCGTAGTGGAGGGCTCCGGAAATTTTGACCACCTGGGGTTTTTTAATGTGCACCCAAATCTGAGTACACGGGCCTACAACATTTCCGCCTCCATCGGAAATGCAGCCGCCGCAGCCGGGAATCGAACCCGCGACCTACGGGTCATGTAAAAAAATAAATACTACATAAATGTTGAAAATACCTAGATACCTGCAACAGAGGCACTGACAAAATGGGTACTTCCTGTCACTGTATATTAACAATTTAAAATGCTGGTTTTGTCTCCATTAGAATCAATTAGAATCAAAGAACCTTCTGACAAACATGAATTAAGCATAAACATGAAGAAAAAAAGATGTGTGCTAAGCATCTTCATGCAGGCAAGACCTTAAAGTGCCCATGTCAGTATCAAAGCTACTGAGTCACGAAATGTTACAAGCCATCACAACGGCTACTATGTATCAAACCCAAGCAGCACACAGCATTGTCAACACAGAAAACTTACATTCGGGGCTTTAGTGTTGCTGAGCTTTCGTTTGACAGGCAACTGCTGCTGGCGAGATTTGCGACGAGTCATTGGCATGGTATGTGATGTATTGTAGCCTGCGGAATGTCGCTCTGGAAAGGTAGCTTCTGTTCGCTCCAACTCAATCATCACTACTTCCTCGCCTTGGATATCTTCAATCTGCATAGGAACTGGCTTTTCTGCGTCCTGTTTTGGAGCAGTCGTAACTGCAGCAGAGGCTTTAGCAGAAGCTTCAGCAGGGGCTTCGGCAGGGGCTTCGGCAGGAGCTTCGGCAGGAGCTTTGGCAGGGGCTTCAGTAGGAGCTTCGGCAGAGGCTGCAGTAAGAGCCTCCATGAGAACTTCAATAGGTTCTTTAGCAGGAGTTTCAGCAGGGGCCTCAGAGGGGACGGCTTCAGCGGGGGCCTCAGCAGGGTCCTTAGCAGCAATCTCAACCAAATCAGAAGCTTTTTCTTGATTAGGAATCTGAAACTAAGAAAAAACAGCTACAAATTACGGTCCCGTGATGAACATCATTGCAACAGTTATTGATTTTCTGATTACAGAGTCAAAGATACTGTAAAAGCCCGTGTAGAGCCCGTTTTTTTTTTTTTCTTCTAGATTTTAGGGTATGAAATTTCGACCCCCTACTATATGCGGGTCCCAAGAATTTTCGCTGAAAATTGAGTTTTGGTTTCGGCATAGCGCGGCGCTATTAACATCATCATCAGGTGTTTACGCGCTTCTGCACTAGGTAGTGTTAGAGGCGGTAGCAGGCGTTAGTCTTACAGACCCACGCATGCAACAGTAGTCAGTGGCCTTTGCTTCCACTTGGCGCTGTTACGAAGAGGCCCTACAGTCTCTTGGGTAGCATGTCGCAAGGGCCAACGCCGGGCAGGGAGCATAAAGGCATTGGCAAGGCAAATGGCAGCCAGAGGAAACATTATATTTACAATGTATGTACAAAACGTGGATGACGAAGCAGCTGAAGCCAGATGCCCCGGCTTTTTATAACTGCCGAGATGCCCGAGGAGGGGGACATAGCCCTGCTGTTGGACGTGCATAGCATCTTTGACGGGCGCCTCCCGGTGTCTGTGAATGACGCGCTCAGTGTCTGTGCAAGGAACACCAGCTAACTCGTAACAGCGCCCACAACGACGGCCACGATTTTGCTCCTGTGATTTTACACCATGTCAGTGCTGCGCAGGCAGTACTCGGCTGCTCTTAAAAGGAAAGTTATCGCTGCTGCCGAAACCATTGGCAACTGTGCTGCGGAACGGCAGTTCGCGGAGTCAACGAGCAGAGTATTCACACTTTGCGGAAGCAGAAGGACGCCCTTTTTGCTTGCAGCAGCCAGTGAAAAAGTTTCCGTTGACCAAAAAATGGAGTGTTTCCTGAGGTGGAACAAGAACTCGCAGACTTTGTGCGGGAGCAGTGAGCTCCACATCTCGCTGTAAACATCGAGCTGCTACAAGCGATGGCAAGAGAGATCGCCCGAGACAATGCACTAAGCCGGTGGATTTCAAAGCGAGCAAGCATTGAGTGTATCTCTTTATGCGGCGCGCTGGGTTATCCCTATGTCGGCGTACGTCGATCTCGCAGAAGCTACCAAAGAGCTACGAAAAAGAACTAGTGAAACTTCAAAAGTATGTCATTGCATTGCGAAAGGCTGTCCCCTTTTAGCTGAGCCAGATCAGCAACGGGGATCAAACAGCGGACTACCTGGATATGCCCTTGGCGCTGACGGTGCAACAGAAAAACTCCAGGCAAGCTATCCTGTGATCGACTGGGAACGAAAAAACGTTGGTGAGTGTAATGTTCTTCTGCACTGCAGACGGTCGCAAGCTACCACCTTATGTGGTATTCAAACGAAAGATGCTGCCGGAGGGGGAGAAGTTCCGAAAAAATGTCGTCGGATGCGAGGACAAGGGGTGGATGGACGAATCGCTAGTGCTTAACTAGAAGAAGTCCAGCCAAGCACTTATTTGCTTATTTGATGTACCTTTTCTCTGCAACCACTTCACTTATTTATTGTACCTCTTCCCTGCAACCACCAAAAAGAATGTAATGATATTCAGTCATGTTATTGTGGAGACTCATAGGTTATATCTGGACTAAAAAAATAGGATATCTTTTATAAAGTTTCTGTGAAAAAAAAATAAAATTACTGCATGCACAAAGCCACAGAGGGTACGTATTGCTGTTTGATATTTTAACAGCTTCACTTCTTAAAAAATCAGCAATTTAATTCAGATTGTTTTGAGCTTGTTGCACCCTATGTATGCAAAGTTTCATAAAAACCAATGCAATAATTTTTCTAAAAAGGTACATTCATGTTTTAAAAAATTATAAAAAACACCATTAGAAAAAAACGAAGTTTTATGTGCGCATACTGTTTACGCCTGAGGGCGCGCCGCACTTTGCCGCGACATGAAAACCCCGTGGAGCGGCTGCTCGACGTCAGGCTTCTAGAGGTTTGTTCCCCAGAGTGCAGTAAATTTTTCGGTGTAAAAACTGCAAATTCAACTTTTGAGGGGGTTTCCCCTGCCATACCACCTTAAGGTAGTCAAATCAGATTATAATTGATTTGTGTGGCTGAAAACAGTTCGATATGGCAGTTAATTGGATATACTAAAACTACAATGTAAAAATGTAAACATACTACTAGACGTGTCGTGTTAGAAGAATCAAGGAAGGTTACTGAGAACCAAATTATATGCAGTAGGCACAAGGCAGTAATTCAGTGTACTACACAAGGCAGTACGCTGAATTCTGTTTGCACAGTGTTAAGACAACTTTCAGCCACTAGCAATGAATCCCCCTAATTTGAAATGTGCAATGTCCAGTTCACTGACTATGTTAAAGGGGTGGTGACACCATAACTGTGGCTTGCGCTTTATTTGGTGCAGGCAGTTCTAAAAGCTCCAAAAAGCATGATACACACACCAAGATTCATGTATTCTCGCTAAATATACGAGTATATGAGTTTTTTATGTGGACAACCTTGAGTTTCAGTTTCTAGGTGCCAAGTTGGGCAGTGACAAAGCTGTGTAAGTGACTAGGTCACGTGACCACACAAAGCCATGACGCACATTGTGCTGAGTATCATCTGCTCTCGCACACACGTGCTACACAAGCACCAGCAAAACAAATGCGCCGACAGTTGCCATGGCTAACTGCAGTAGCCGCGAGTGATTTAGAAACCGATGATTTTGCGGATATGCACATTAATTACAGAGGTGGCGGAGGTCTGGTGTAACATCACTACAACATTCACTACCCTTCCTATAGCAAATGTATGCTAAACATTTGCTTTGTCTGACGATTCGCGCAGTGTCCTTGCGTACAGAGGAAACACACTACTAATAGCCTTGAAATTTGATGGCACCATCCCTTTAAATGTGTATCTGTCAGTCAGCCTTGAGTGTTTGACATAGAAAATAATCTGGTTTATCTAAGCTCATCATAATGTACTGACTTTATCCTCGCAATTCTGCAGAACCCTGCAAGGTGGCAGGTAAGTTATGATATAGAAAACTGAGAACAACCCATACTGTTTCATCACAGATTAAAGATTACTAAAGTTGTGGATAGTAAAACTGAAGCATATAATGAGCACTTCTTAATGAGTTTGTGCACTCTTATAAAAGCAGAATACGGCTAGAAAAATATTTGACAGCTGAAAAAAATTGTGCTATGGCATTAGTGTACGAAGACTGCTGTGTTTTATATATTACTGATGTGGCAGCATAAATACTAGAACTGCCACATACTGCTTAAAGCCTGCTCCTGTGCCACTGAGTGTGAATGCAACTGTTTAAAGTTGTGATATATAACGAATACCCTATTTATATGTATATATACAAAAACACAAACAATAAACAAACAGCAAAAAACACAGCTCATCCATAGCAAATTACAGCAATCCAATGCTAATAAGAGACCAAACTTACAGGTAGTGCAGTTTGTTCAGGATCCTTGTCTATAAGTAGAACATTGATGGGGCCCTGTTCAGACTTTGCATAAACCCAGTAGTTTTTTTCGGTAGCCTGCACAAAAAAGTTTTCTCTGAAAATGCACCATTAAGTGGAAACCTGCAGCAATTCTTTAAGGTACTGTAAGGATCAACAAAATTAGCTTCACAAGTTCTCCAAACAACTTCAGTCGTGTATAACAAACGGCATGACATAACAGTTGCATTTTTACCCTACAAGTTCAAGATGAATTTAGTATACAGTTAGTCTACATGCATCTGGTGATGCACTGTTCTTTCATCTCATAGCTGCTACTATTATAGAGCATCACATGATGATGACATGTCAGTAATTTTCTTGCAACTTTCTCCATCAACTAGATAACTATTACTAAATGACTACGGTTCAGCATTTTCATATTAAAGTAACACTAGAAATTCATTGCTTCCTTTTATTTCTAGGGTGTAATCTTTGAGTCAAGCCTGCAATAATCTTTTCATCAATGAACATGTAGACTACTAACTCTGCAGATATTGAAATATGTGCTGTATGACTGCAGATCCAGCTCTTCTGAAACTACATCAATGCTGAATGCTTGGGCTAGTTGGTGGAAAGATAGGAGTCAAACTGCAGTGCAAGCCATAAACAACACCTCGTGTATTATTTGCACAACAGCTCGACGATGTCTTTCAAGATTATAGTTCTACCCAATCCACAAAATAAAGTTTCTGAGAAGCAACTCACCAAAAGCCTTACACCTTCTAGCAATTTGACTACGCACAAACACAGATGAATGCCTATGATATCTAAATACAAATAGAATAGACTATTTGTAACAATGAGGGTATACCAAGTGCCAAAAATAATACAGAAATTTCAACTATGTAGGTATAGATACAGCCCAACACAAGTGAACCTGCCCAGTTAATCCATTAATTAGCTGCAACGTTAAGACTGCAAGAGCCTGGGTCAGTGATACTATATCTCTGGCATCATGGAGTGGGAAAAAAAAAACACAGAATAAAAATTGGCCAGATGGGATGGAGAAGAGCTCATTGTTACATCGTGATAATTGAAAACAGTGCTCGCACGGTATTACTGCATAAACAAATGCACGGACTGGCTACTTGAACCTCGTACTAAGAAAATACCCCTTGCAGGAATCACAATCCACACAGTGGCTGCGAGACCAAAAACTGGGGGCATATTGCATTAGCTATCTTTTTCTCTACACCTAAAACACTTCCCGGTATTTCGGAACACACCATGCCCTTCTCACCTAATCTCCCCATATTATTTAATCTTGCAGCTAAAATCGATGTGTCAGCTAATGCATTAAGATAATTTGAAGTAATATTCTACTTTAGTCTTGAAAGTGCAAATTGCATCGTTTAGTGTATAGATAAATTTTCTCTGATCAACATGTGTGGGAAATCTGTGAAACCTATGCAACAATGTTACTTTGCAAAGAGGAATCTTAGTCACGGTGTAGTAGGTGACATTAAAAACTATGACCCCTGCAAGTCACGTGGGCACAGATTTTCGGAAGGGCGTAATCTCTACAAGCATTTGAAAACTGTCTGCTTAACCACCAGCACACCACAGCCAAATGCTATCACGTTCTTACATACTAGTTCTCAATCTAGCAGCAAATCATTTCCTCATGCGAGACATCAGTTTTCATGCAAATGAGACACTCCTATCAAACTCACACACCTGTCTCAAGTCAGGCACACGAATGAATGTGTCACGTGGTGCACGCAGGCTGAGCAATGTTGACTCTGGAAAGCAACTTCGCAATTCCCGTGTGGTGATGTGGGCATGAGCTGCATTTAAGGCATCCTCGGTGATATTAAGCAGGCTCTGCTGAGCCCAGACCTTGTGCTCATCAAGAGTTGCCTCGACTCGCTCAAGTTCTTCCAGTTCACCCTGGAGCACTCCCTGCCTTTCACTCAATTCTAAAGTATTGCATCCTGGTCCCGCACCCCTGCCAGGAAAAAAAAAAATCACCCTGTTAACCTCTGTTCTCAATGCAATATGAAAAATGTATTGAAATTGTGCCATATAAAAGCATTGCTACGTTATTGCACACCGCTCAAACGACTAAGCCTTAAGAGACGAAGAACTACACGAACACTTAACACAGTAATGTAGCAATGAATAGCTACAAATTCACACAAGCAAATACCCTTATAAGATATAAAAACAGTCAGGGCACTACTTACTGTAGCCCTGTATGCACTGTACGCACAACAATCTAGAAGTTTCAATCACTCTGACCTAATTTGATACTGTTTATAAATTCAGTCTGAAAGCATGTACACTGACGACAGGTTGAAATTATGATGCCAAATGTTTCCTTTCAAATCCTACATGGAGTCTGCACCCCAATTGTCACACCTGAACTTGCCAACCACTTTATGTATAAACAACAGCTATAGTCACCTGCTGTAAAATGGCACGTGATGCAGTGATATGCTCATACATCCAATAGGCAGTCAACATCTCAGTAGACATTGTATGGCAACACGTTACAATAATTGTTGGTCTTCAACGTCCCAAAACCACAATATGATTATGAGACTGCCAGACACTGTAGTGGAGGGCTATGGAAATTTTGATTGATTGATATGTGGGGTTCAACGTCCCAAAACCACCATATGATTATGAGAGACGCCGTAGTGGAGGGCTCCGGAAATTTTGACCACTTGGGTTTCTTTAGCGTGCACCTTAATCTAAGCACAAGGGCCTCAAGCAGTTTCGCCTCCATCAAAATGCAACCTCCACAACTGGGATCCGATCCTGCAACTTGCGGGTCAGCAGCCAAGCACCATAACCACTGTGGCAACACCTTACAGTGAACCAAGTTCCTCAGTCAGAAGGATTAACACGAGATTATAGCAGGGTACCTCAGCTATGAAGCACCAAATTTTTATTAATGAAATTCATCTTACGTGGATGAAACAAAATTTATTTTATTACGAGCAGGTTGATCAAACGTCATATTTAACATATCTTAATTTGCAACAAAAAATTATCAAATGCTTTAATTATTACATTTACTACACCATCAGTTATTACAACTACTTCCAAAAAATCAGTTTCAGTTGTTTTTTTTTTTTTTCAAGCTGCTAAAAAGATCTGATAAAATTTTTAACACCTGAACAGGTGCCCACATGTCCGATGGCTGGGAGACACTTCAAATGTGCATGTGGGTGTGTGCCTATGTCCATAGCCACCTTCTAGCACCTTCTGGTAAAAGAGGTTTCTCTCTCTCATTCTCACATTCCTGATAGTTTTAAGCAAACATTTTTCAAAAGAAGCCCTAGAAGTTGTCTTCTCAGCAGAAATTAGCAGTCTGTGCGACAGTATGGCACCGGGTATAGTAAAATTCAACGCATGTAAGATTAGGCAATTTTGGTCTGGCACCGCACGGGATTGCGAATTAAATGCCTTTTTTTTTTTTGGTGAAATGTAAAAAGTAAAACCATGTTGTGTTAACATCAAAGAGTACAGTGTACTCATGTCCAGACCAATTACCATGACTGTGCATGTTTTTATATCTTAGGACACAGAGTTTACAACAAGCATGACACCCCATAACTCATGAAGTGGCAGAGCTTTTCTTTTTTTTTTTAATTTTGACAGAGTGGTTATCTTTAGGTAAGTTTAACTTCCATTCTTTGTGACAAAGAGATTGCATTTTTGGATTGAAAGCAGAATCTTTAAAGGGGCCCTGCAACACTTTCCCAAATAATCATTGACTTCGTTAAAAAACTTATTGTCTTATCAATTGACTGCTGCCAAATTTTTGGGATCCATGAAACATAAGTGGAGTTAGAGGGACTTGTCATATGATTCAACACTCTCTCTATCTTCTTCCGTACCAGCAAGCACACTGAAAGCTATGCAGAGGGGTTGACAAGACAAGATGATATACCCCTTTGTCAGCGTGTGTAACGACCTCGAGAAATTTTTTATTTTATTTTCTTAGAAAGCACAGATTACTTTGCGTGTAATTGCAAGCGCAAACATAGACACGTGTTACCACCACATGGTTGGCCCTTGTAACTATGCGGTTTACGATGCTAAAATCGGCCAATGACCATGGACTTCTGGTTTATGGCATCATTTGTCGAGAGGGAAGGGAACAACTTTTAGCTTACTTTAAAAAGGCAAATATTAAGTCCATATTGATTGTTGAAATAGTGGTCCAGAAACCTTGTAATGGTACTTTTGTGTCAAGGAAGTGCTTATTTTGAAATAAAGTCCTGTTTTAGTGGTTCGCATAGCTTGATGATGATTGATACGTGGTGTTTAACGCCCCAAAACAACCATATGATTATTTGATATGCCGTAATGGAGGGCTCCAGGAATTTAGACCACCTGGGGTTCTTCAACATACAGCCAAATCTGAGCACACGGGCTTACAGCATTTTTGCCTCCATCAAAAATGCAACCACCGCAGCTGGGATTCGATACCGCGACCGACAGGTCAGCAGTCGAGTACCTTAGACAAAAGACCACCGCAGCGAGGCAGTTTGCATAGCTTTATCGCACTTCAAATCACCCTCCTGAAAGTGTCTTTTTGACGTCACTGTTGCTAGGCCCAACATTGCCTGCCTTTAGTGCACGGCCACTGACACTAGCAGCAGCAATGTAGTGGGAGCCACAGCAGCAAGAACGACGACGGTCACTGAACAATGTTCTGCTTGCTTCGTTTAACTAGGCCCCGCTAAGTGGCACTACCTATCCAGCCTAATCAGGCAAAAATGGAACATTTGAACCATTTGCATCATTCCCCACAGTAATGCCAGGCGATTTTTTTTTATATATATCAAACAAATATGGACAAGCACCACTTTGTTACGTCTTTTACAGAAAATTAATTTTTTTATAGCAGCTAGTTTGATTACCAGTGATTCATTGTAGTCGGACGCTCTCACGTCATCGGGATCATTTTCAAAATGTCCCACTCGTGGTGGCAGTCATGCGATACATTTAGCTTAATTTCTCGGTAAGTAGGGTTCTGCTGTTGACAATATTGTAGTTTCAGACATTATAAATTGAGCTTTCACTCAGACATAAATTGTTATTTGCCTTTAGTGTCCCTTTAAAGGTTCCCTAAAACGGTTCTTTAAAGGAGTACTGACACGAAAATTGAAAATTTTCTGATTTCTGCTGTAAATAAAAGCACTGGTACCGAGGACCCAGGAAAGAGTATTTTGATGTCTCGAAATGCATTGAAAATACTTTTAATATCACCTTTTCTAAACACACTTTCGATTTCGAAGGAGCGGCTTCACAGCGACAAGTCAGGCTGACGTATGCCTCAGTGACGTGGGGACTGAGACATTCGCAAAAAATTGTGACGTACCAATGCAGCTCTATCGTCTGCCTGAAACAGACGTTTGCGTGTGGGCTCTGATGCTTGATTTGCATCGCGATGTTGTGCTGAAGCAGCGTAGAGCGTGAGCCCAGCTTCTGACTCCAGATATCACTTCTTTGGCAGCGCGATGCTGAACTCAAGAAGGTACCGATGGTTCTCGATCCGGTAGCAGTCGGCGCTGAAATACAGCGAGCAAATCCGGCTTCGCTTGGCTGGCGTCCAGTCGCAGCTGCGATCACAACGCACAAAATCTACCCACACGTGTCTCACTGCTGGGTCGTTCGGAAAACTGTGCATACTAATGTTGCCCCTGGTCTTGGAATCACAGCCTTTGACGGCACAAGGAGTGGGTGGCATCGTGAAACAGGAATGCGGTGATTGGAAAAACAATGAAATCCCACTCGCATCTTTTCGCATACAACAGAGGTGTCTCAGCGCTCTATCACTGTCGATGTGACCACAAAGCGTCGCAGCAAAATGGACAGCCTACAGCACAACTATGAACGACGCCGATCGGTGGCGCACCGCTAGACAGGAAGTTGAGAAGGTGCGCCGGTCGCGCTTTCTGCCATTTTATTTTTGTCATTACCCCAGCGCGTACGCATTTACATGACGTCACAGTTTCCTGTGCACCTGACTTGAAACGTCAAGCGCTGTGCCTGACAGTGGAGCTGCCTTGCAGGAACCGAGAGATGAAAACTTCAAAATTAGATTAAAATGTTTTCTACGTGTTTCCCCGTTCAGGTGTGGGGAGAACGTCAACACTACATTCCAAAGAAACGAAAAACGTTCGTTTCGCCGCACCTCAAAATTGTGTCAATACTCCTTTAAAGTTTTGTCAGCATTTACGCTACAGCATCAACAAACTATTCGCACCACAAATTTACTGACACGCCATTTACCAAGGCCGCTATGAACAATTATATCATGCCTTCCTTCTCACCCCTGCCGTGCCTTCTCAACTCATGAGACACGCTGGCATCCCTGGCAATCACAGGGCTTTCATGAGCGCACTCGACGATTTGAGCTTCACCAAGCCATGACTTCCAAGATTGCACACCGACAGGTTGCGCGCAATCTTGGAGGCTATCACTCAGCACGCCCAGCAGCACGCACACCGTCTGGCAACAGAGACAAAGATCACAAAGTGACTGACATTTGCTCTGACAGGTGCCGCCACCCTACCGACCGATCTTACCTAGGCGCATTCGACAGCCAATCAGATCAGAAGCCTGGGTGACGTCACATTGCCAGAGCATGTCTATCCGTGAACGGGCGGTCTAAAACAATTTGGCTCAATCACAGCCATCTGCAGTGATTTGCAGCTTTAAAGGGACGCTGAAGTCATCTATTAAGTCAATGTTGATTGTTGAAATGGCGGTCCACAAACCTCATAGTGTTACTTTTGTGCCAAGCAAGAGCCTATTTTGAAGCGATATCCCGTTTTAGTGCTCCGCATCGAGTTAGCCCACTTCAAATTACCCGCCTCAAGAAGCGGATCGACCGGACTGTCTCACGTCACTTGCCATGCACAACGTTGCCCAGCTTTGCTGCGCTAGTAGCAGAAGACTGAAAGCAGCGGGAGTCACAGCAGCAACAATGACCATTGATAAATTTCCCGCCATTGGCTCCGAGATTGCAGACACTTTTGTTTCAACTGTGCCCCGTTAGATGGCACCACCTGTCCCGTGTAACCAGGTGAAAATTGAATTTTAGAACCACCCGCGCAATTCCCCATAGTAACGTCCGGCGATTCTTTTTTCCATGAATTAAGCAGAAACGAACAAGCGGCATTTTATTGCATCTCCTAATGCACGAAACGCTCTTTATTTAGTGCAGTTAGATCGATTATTAGTGATTAATTGTAGGCAGTCCGTCTGATGTCATCGGGATCATTTTGAAAATGTCCTACTGAAGTGCTTGTGTTCTTGTGCATTTACTTTAATTTCTCGGTAAATAGGGCACTGTTGTTGGTAATATTGTCATTTTAGATGTTGTCATACGTTGCACTTTCACTCTGACGTATATTGTTATTTGACTTTAGTGTCCCTTTAAAGCGTCGTAATAAATTACACAGTTTACACAGAAGGCACAAGTCGGTCTGTAAACGACCCTCAGGACTTGATTTACCCGCCGAATACATTTTTACAAAATCGTCCTTTTAAGAATTACGCATTCCAGGCCGCATGCTGCTTGGTTTAGTTCACATGTCCTCAGAAGCCTTGACTACGAATTGGCAGCATTTTCTGACGATGGTAAAAAACTACTGCATCGCCACTTCAAAGGGGTACCAACACAAAAATTTAGACCTCACTTTTTTTTATGTCATGTGTTGCTAGAGGCCTGCTAGTCATAAAACAGCGCATCGTCAGCTGTAGCATGGTACTGATAAGTAATTATAGACTCATAATTACCTACCAGTTTCCGTCTCGGTTTGAGAAAGCTCCAACAACGACAAGGCGCCGGATGATCACCACCTAGCATGTGCAACTTTCAATCCCGTCAGTACACAGAACTGTGACACACTTCTGCACAGTGCACATCAAGAAGACCTTTTGAATAGAAAACGGGACACCAGTGTCGCCAAACACAAAACTTTCGACGTGTGTGCCACGGCCACGTACTCGTGGGCAGCTGCCGAGTAATTGTCTGCTAGTGCGAATGTTGCAAAAGAAAAATAGTGGCTATGACATCAACATAACTTGTTGCAGCGTGGTCACATGAGGGCGGTAGGGGGTCACCAAGTGTCACCTTTGAGGTTTTCGATAGCATGAGGGAGGTGATCATTCATACAAACTTCAGAACTAATTTTTAATGTACCTTCGAAGCTATCGGTCACGAGGGCCTCCAGTGGAGCAGTCGTTTTGACGTAGCAGATGGGATGCTCCTGCTCGCCTTACTGCATAGTTTTTGTGGATTGCGACATTCGGGTGTGATCACAGTAAGCGGCATTTATTTGTCAGGAGGAGAACACTTCATTTGGCCTGTTGGAGATATTACTGCCGTGCTAGACAGACTGCAAGCAGCTTTTGAAAACACAGTAGACTCCTGTTAAGACGAACTCTTGCTCAAGACGAACAACACAGAAGTGTTTGTTTGGTTTCCCATACACTCAATGCAAAAAAGTCTGCTTAAGATTAACCGCGTAACACGCCTCTTCAGTTAAGGCGAACTCTTGCAGCGACCAACTAAGACGAGGATTCTGCCCAACGAACATTGTAGTCTTGATGAGGGCATTCAAGCGAACAAGAGAAAGCAAAATAAAAAAAAAACCTTCCTAGTGCAAATACACAAAGCACATTGAAAGCAAATTGAGATGTGGAGGGAGAAAGCGAGATAAGTGGAAAAGAAAGGTCAGAGCATAAAACTGGTATCGCCCTCCCCCCTAGCCTGTAGGTGGAGAAAGGGCTGGCTTCATCAGGAAAGAAAGCAAAAACAAAAGCGTTTGTCCTTAAGTATTTTCCTCACTTTCTTCAGTATCCAACAGAAGTACAAGAGCTTGGCTAGACGGGAAAATGCAAGGGAAGGGGGGCGAAGAAAAACCAAATGAAAGTGAAGATGGGTACAAAGATTCCCTGTACATTATAATACGATGAAACGAAAACCATATATGCGGCACTAGCTCTCCCATCAGAAGAGTCAGATGCATTGTCATCTCTGTCACACAAGGGTGCCTGAGCACATGGTGTGGTCAGTTTGCGTTGCTGTGCATGGGGCCTGTGCACGCTGTAACTGTTCAGATTGAAATGCAGTAAATTGTGCTGCGCCATATTCATCATGAAACTGCACGACAAACGAACATCATTTTGCCCGCTAAATATAGCTACATTATGTCGTTTTTGCGTGCCCTAGGCTTGTGATCATGAGTAGCATAAATGGAGATCTTCAGCTGCATGTTCTTCAGGAAAAGTTACTGTGGGCTGAAACTGAGAAAATATCCGAACTTCAAAAAAAAAGCTTGCAGATTTTCATAAGCACCTTGGCGTATATTGGCTTTTTCAAGGAAGTGGTATGCAATGAAGGCATATCTAAAAGTGATAGCAAAGCCAGTAAAACACCAGAAGAACAAATTTTCCCTTCTTTGAAGAAAAATTGTGTTTGTCTCTCCCTCTTTATCTTTTTCTGGCTGTCAAAATAGGGTTGTGCTACTATTTTATTGTTAAAATGTGGTAGAAATTTATTCATGAGCAAGTTTATTTGGAACTTGCAAAATGGTGAGCTTGTTAGATTAGTCTACTTGAAAGCATAGTTTTCATCAAGCTTGTTCATCTTTTCATCAAGCTTGTTTCGCCTTGTTCCTTTCCTTCCCATTATAAGTAAACTTCATTCAGTGTTTTCAAGCAACATATTTGGGTGTACTTGGCATGTTAGCATTTGGTTTTTGGGTGCACCTTTGTTAAGACGAACTCCTCATAAGACGAACAGACGATCGTGGTTCCTTCAAGTTCATCTGAAATGGAGTCTACTGTTATAAAATATCTGAAGCTTTATGACCAAAAACCATGATATGATGATGAGGGACGCCGTATGGAGGGCTTCGGAAACATTGGCCATCTGGTGTTCTTTAACGTCCACTGGCATCAATCACACAATACACAAGCCTCTAAAATTTCGCCTCCAAACGAAATGTTACTGCTGCAGCAGGGATCGAACCCGCGATGACAGCAGCTGAGTACTGTAACTGCCACACCAGTGCAGCGGACTGCAAGCAGCTTTAGCTTGTTGGTGCACTATTAGATGTCTCAGTGCTAGACGTATCCAACAGATGACCCTGTACGTTTTCCTCATTGCCCGAAATGCAGAGAAATGTGTTACACTTGGCTGATAAAGCTGAAAATGGGGAAAAGACGCCAACGCTAACTCGCGGGTCAGCAGAAAGTAATTTCATGACAAAGATTTCATGTGCCCTGCCGCAGCTGAAATATTCAGTAACATCTGATTTATGCTCACGAATGCTTTCGGAAACTCATTGCGTGCGTTTGCCGACAAATTTCCTGATAATGAAAAAAGACAGGCTCACTGTAAATTATCAAAATAAGTAAAAAGAAGAGCACCCCCATCTCAAATATCTTTCACAGTGAAGTCCTAAAGAAACAAACATTTCGTCACATTTACCATCTCATCAAAGGCGCTGAAAACTAACACTGATACGGTGCCGAAACATGTAAGCCAAGGGCAAAAGTAAATTGAGCTGTAGTATTATACATTAAAAAAAAAGAAGCGCAGATGACCGTCAATCATATTGGAGCACAACTAAAATGAGCAGTGGAGGGCAAGCAAATGGGCCCTTCGTATTGCTGACCCCACGAGCACTTCTAAGCACTCCACTCACCATCTCCACAAGTTCGTTGACAATTGCGCATTTGCACCTCATGTGCGGTGGTATTACTGTTCTGTGGTACGTTTCCCTCATTAAGCAGGTTCACTCATGTGACACAAAATCAGAGAATTCTGATGGGGAAAGTATTCAATAACGTATTAGCAGCTTAGCTTTTACGACATC